GGGGGGGGGGGGGGGGTTGCTGCTTGCACGTAGTCGCATGAGTGCCCCTTGACCAGGCATTTGTCTCGAAACGGAGCACCGTTCCCAGCACCGTACGTTGCGCTCTTTGTGGAGGGGACTCCAGGATTTCGGTGCTACATGCACAATTGTGTACGCCGTTGCCAGGTTTTTCAGAGTATCCTCTCTTATCATTCCCCTCCTGATGGCCCTGTGTTGTGGTCGAAGGAGGCGGGGGGGTCGATATCTCAATTCACAAACGAACGACAATGCTAATGTGCGGCAATGCTAATGTGCGGCAATGCTAATGTGCAATGTGTTCTACCGTAATACAGCACTGATTGGCACGTTTTTTTTTAATCGCCGTCGTTGCCGCTGCAGTTTCAACTAGATCGGGCACTCTCCAGCATAACGTAGGCCTAGCGACCACACGCGCGCGCTGAGCTTCAACCTGCTGACACCGACGCAATGCCGTTGGTCAGCCAGTGAGCGCGGTCAATGCTAATCAAGCAAGCACACACAACACACAATTTCTACCCGCTGTTTACAGACTGACGTCTTTTCATTGGTCAGCTGGTTAGCGCGGCCTATGCTAGTGAAAAGAGAAGCATGCACTCAACACACGCCGTGCCCAATGCGAGCTAATGTACCTACCTTTGTTTAATAGTGCAACGACCGACCTGTGTGTGTGTGGGGGGGGCTCTTTGGTTCGGTACTTTTACCTGTCGTCCATGTCAACCAATCAGCATGTGGAACTCCTGAAGCTGTGCCAGTCGATCGTGGAACACGGCCCGGACTTGTTCTCGCTGCACAACGCTACGATCGATGCTCCGTTCAGGTACGGGGCGAGAATACCGGGANGGGGGGGGGGGGGGGGGGGGGGGGGGGGGGGGGGGGGGGGGGGGGGGGGGGGGGGGGGGGGGGGGGGGGGGGGGGGCGAGGGAAGAAAAAGAGAAAGAGAGGGAAACGGTAGAGATGGTCTGTGAAGTAGAAACGGCGAAGGTTGTTCTATCGTTCTCTGGGATGACGCTGCTCTTTCGTCCCCAGCACCTGCAAAATACACTAGGAAGAGCAGCTTCTCAACCGTCGCGCCCTGCCTCCCTCCCTCCCTCCCTCCCTCGCTCTC